TTTATACACACTTTTCTGTTGTTTTATAGTTAATTTAAATATTCAATGAAATATTTAAACCAGATAATTTACAAACCAGTCACACTTTGCTAACCTCTGTGCCTGCCCATCACAATGTTCTTAATTATGTTTGTAAATCATTCATTCAGGAACATGAAAGACAAAAACTGGGAGGAGAGGGAGAAGAATAGCAAAACTTCAATACTCTATTTACTGCTTCTTTAAAATAGTTGAAAAGTAAACTGCTGCTATCTTACCATGAAGCCTCCCCTTCTTTCTTAATCTAAAGCAACAAATAATTTTAATCTGATTAATTCCACATGTTACTTTTGTTAAATTGCTTGATGCATTTGCATTATTTTTAGCATAATTTGCAAATTGTTGATTGTTTATATTTTACCATTCCTGATTGACTTTTTTAAAAGTTTCCCTAACATTTCAAATGAGATTAATTTGTGTATATTCCTAATCTAGGAAATATTAAAAAAAATACTTAGTTTCTTTTTTAAAAATCTTATAATATTGTACAGGCTACTCCAAAAATCTTAATGAAGTTTAAACCTTAATAGCTGCACTAAGATGTTTGAGACACCTTGTAATGAGTTTGAATCTTACGGGAACATGCCTATTGGTGGTTGCTTTTAGAATTCACTAAATACATTTTGTTCAAAATTTCTGAATTTTGTAATTAAACCTAAACATTGTATTATGGTCTGACACACCTCTCCTCTAACCTCCCATTTAGAAACACATTCTCAAAGGAAGACTTCAGGACACGAAACACTAAAATACTGACCTGTACAATGAATCAGATTAAAACATGAACTATTTCTAGTTGATGTAAAAAAGCTTAAAAGTGAAAAAAAAGGGAAAAGATTAGGTAACTCCAGAGAATGCTACATTTCTGTGACCATATCTTGACAAGTTTGTGGTTTTCATCAATATAATCTGTAACGTTGGCTTGAAACTACAAGGAGAGAGTTGGCCCAGCCCTAGCAGCCTAGTAGGTCTTCAACACATTTTCTCGCCTAGTTTGCTGTTGCTTTTAGGGCTTAATAAAATATTTACTGAACCCAGCCACAATCAAAGTAAACAAACAAACAAAACCCTCCAAAAGTCAGAAATATGTTTATGACTATAATTGACAGGGCCTGAATCCCTGAGGTGTTGTTCCTTCCTTGAGGGGATATTTGACAAAGAGCTCAGAAAACTGAATAAGAATGTCCTTTTACCTGATTTTACCAGATTTTTTTCCATTTCTCCCCAACCTGTTCATTATACCTAGCCTTTCCATCTCCTTTCAATATTCTAGTTCTTCCTACACTTTAGTGTCATTGTGGTATGTAACTTTCAGCAAAGAAAGCAAAGAGTGGGGGGAGGGCAGGAAAACCTCTAGAGGAGCTACTTACTGATGTAGTTCCATAAATCAACTAATGAGAGAGAAACCAGATCTGTGTGGTCTCTAATGCTATCCTACAGAGATCAATCACGTCACCTGAACAATGTTTAGGGACTTAGGGGTTTGGGTAGCCCATGGGATAGCTTTATTCTTTGGGCCATATAAGATGAGACCATGTCTAAATAGTAACATCTGAGTATCAGAAAGGTGATGGCTGAATATAAAAACTCTTATCGTTATCTTCCTAAAGTAGTTTAAAAAAAAAACTATGATAAGCCAATTAAAATAACTTCCTCTGGATAAATTAATAATAATTGTAAAATACCCAAGATCTTAAAACTGATCAGCTAGATTACAAGTTTTAGAAATATAGTACCTAATAGGAGGGGAATACAGAATTGTCCCTAATTACTACATTTGTAAACTAATCATTAGATAAATAAAAAAGTATGTATGCAAATATGTAGTGAATAGTAGCATAGGAAATTGTTTTATTATTTTATATACATTATACATGGAAAATCATAATTAATTTCATTAAAAGAATTTATAGCATATTGGTATGCTTTTAAGGTGAACCTAATAAGGAAAATCATGGAAAAGATGAAAGCAATTTTAAAAGGAATACTGGAAGGGAATCATTTTATTTAAAATGTAAGGGCAGGAATCTGAAAGCATTAATGTGAATCAGTCTTAACTTCTACTTACTAACCTAGTAACCTTACTAACCAAGACAAGAATAAGTGAAGAAGAAAGAAGTAATTGAAGGAATGGAGAGCTACAGACTCATCCAATGAGATAGCACAACCTACTTGTCCTCTACCAAGTTTGATCTGAACTCTCAATTTGAAGTCAATCATTGCATCTGATGCTAAACTTAGACCAGGAAGACCCAGAAAAAAGTCCATGGTGGAATTTGACACCTCTAAGTAAAATTTCTAACCAATCTACAAGGCACCACCTAAGAAGATGACGAATTATGGGGACCATGAAACAAACTTGAAAGGCCACATAGTTCAGCAGGGTGACTTTGCATCCACCTGCCCCACTGCTGTTTCTTTGGTTTAGTCACGTAAACCTGTCACTCTGACGTGTTTCCAGTTGGTTTCTTTACAACCATAACAGTGTTGCTACACATATGCTTTAGGAAATCATGTTGTCATTCCTTAGGGTTTTTTTTTTCCTTTAAAAAAACTGATCTGAATAGAAACCAAGCCAATTTAGGAAACTTTTCCTCTCCTTCTACCAAATAACATTCTTTTAAAATACGATCTGTGGTCCATAGGACATTTTCCAAACAGACATGATTTGCAGTCAAGAGAACATCCTTAGATATCTCTAGAAGCTAGAAAATCTATCTTCAAACCATGGTCAAGGAGAAGAGAAGGAAGCAAGTGGTTATAAAAATGCACATGGCTAACAAAACTATGGTTTTTACTAGTCATACTGATTAAATAATTTTAACATCAGGTATAACATGCCTCAACAATTTTGAATGCTAATGGAACATCTCAGTCAGACTCAAGGAAATTTTAAAAAATCTTCTCAGAAGTAGATATCTATCCAGAAACAAGGTGATAATGAAACGCTGGTAATGTGTAAGTCAGGTTCCCTCAGAGTACCATGCTTGTGAAATAAACCAGAGAGCCATCACTGTCTCCCCATCTACTATGTATCCTGTCTTGCAACACTGTGTTATAGCTTCTGTCTAACTCATTTTCCAGGCTGGCATCACCCAAAGACTGGAATGCTAGTGGCTAACACCACAGAAAGGGGGCAGAGGAGGGAGTCGTATGCCACGTGCTCATTATTAATTGTGCATCAACAGGAAATTTCAGTGTTAGCAGTTTTAATTGCCTATAGCTCTTTGAAACTCTTAATAAAAGTGAACTCATGTGATAAGTGTCTAAAAACAAAAGCCAAGACAATGGACAAATACTATTTTACCACCTGAGATCTAAAAGAAATGGAATTCAGCGAGCTAAAAATGAAAACTTCCTGGGACATACACTCTTGTGGGGGAGAGGAAATTTTTTGATTTATCTGATCATAAGTCATAATGGCAATAAAACATAGAATTTTAGAAAACAAATGTTGTTCAGTTCAAGATTCCAAACTAATTTTTTTTCAATTGTTTGTCTTACTGGTATTTCACAAACTACAAAGATGTTTTTTCTTCTTTTGTTTTATTTTTTTTTAATCCCACCTACAATACTTCCTAGACAAAACTCCAAAGTAGTGATCATTTAAAAAGAAATGTAATAATTGATCACTGATGACAATTTGCAATTGCACATCTCTCACCTAGTTTAGAGTTCAATGATAAAGCAAGCACCTCCAGCTTTATAAGAATTGTGTAGAAGCACATCTAACCAGAAGCACCGTAATTTCAATAACATGATTAAATGATTACTTGCTTGTCTTCCTTTGCTAAAAATACCACCATTTTACTTAGGGTTTTGTGCCCCCACCCCCAGTTTGTTTTGTTCAGTACATCACCTGAAATTCTTCCAAACATCTCTTCTTTTATGGTTAACAAATTTGAAAATCTCACTTTACACCTCTGTGGTATTTCGTACATCATCCATTTGGAGCACATATAGGCAGAATACATTGTATTGCAGATCAAATATGTATTAATCAAACCTGTGCCTAGCTATTTTTGGTAGAATTTTAATGCACCACAAGCAGTGACACAAAAGCAGTGCCCAAAGGAAACATTTTTCTTAGTATATTTTACCAACCATTCATTTCTGAAACTATACCCAGGCATTCTTTCTGAACAAAATTACCTTCAGTTGTCCTAAAATTAGCTAATGTATTACTTTACTCTGAACTTCTTCTCATTAAAAATGCAGGTGTTCAGCTATCTCTGTACTTTTGTCTGTTTCTTAAGAAAACACCAGCTATATGTATATATTTAAAAATAGCAGATAAATCAGAGGAAGATTTAGGACATGCTAGGGAAAATAAGTATAAATGTTTCTGTGTATGTTTGTATATATGTATACATAAATGTGTATACACACTTCAGGGAGAATCTTCATTTGCATCCAGGTATTTCTGGTTCAAACATTTATCTCTTGTTATGTTATTTTTCACATCAACACTTATCTATGTGCATAAAAATGTTTGTGTTACCATACAGAAATGGTGAAAATAGGTCACCAATGTGTCATTCTGAGCCTACATATAAATGTATAGGATGTGATGAGTTCAACCATGTGCAGAGATTTGGGGTTGGGAAGAGAGACCAAAATGATGGGGGGAGGGGCTTTAAACCACCAGGGTAAAATTGTGACCATAATGAATGTGAAACTTCTGACTTTTTGACCAATTACATTTTCCCCCCAGAGACAAAAAAGAGGTGGGGGGCCTCCCCCTGTAGAGGGTGGTTCCATCCGAGATGCAGGTCGGGGTAAAGCGGGGGAGGGAGAGACTGTGCCCTCCTCCACTCACCTACAGTATTTTACAACCTGAATGAAGCTTCAGAAAAGGGATAATGCATCTTGAAGTTAGACAAGAAGCCCTGAAGGGGTGAGGGGAAGGGGGTGAGAAGGGACGGGGGGAGGCTGGGAAACAAGAAATCATCTCCTCTGACCTCTAGTGAAGTGCCAGGTTTTTTCTTTAGCTCTTCACATTTCCTAAATTTGCAGATCTGGTGTCCCGTTTTGCGATTCCTGCAACTGCTGCAGACTCCACAGTTGATGAGCCTCTTGCAGGGCACGCAGACCCCACACCTTTTCCTCTTCTTCTTGGCCGGGTTGGTTCCGCCAGTTCCTCCAGAGGAGGAGGAGGAGGAGGAGTGATTCTGCGGGCAGTCTGCCAGATTGGCAATTTGAAACGCACTGTCTGTGACGGCTGCTGAGGCTGCTGCGGGGGAGTGAAGGGCTGTCATGACGATGACCCCTGGAGGTAATGAGATGCCCCCTAAAGCCGGGATAGCGGAAAAAGTCCCCACGCGTTCGGGGAGATTCATTATCTCTGCTTCAGCAGCGCCGCATTTGAGCTTGTTCATGCATTCCCCCGCCAAAGGTCTGCAGTGTTCAGGGGATAAGGTGGAGAGGAAATTAGTATTTGCCATTTGCAACGACGGCTCTGGCGGGCAGCCAGCTTTGCCCAGCCTCTGGGAGTCGTTTCGATGGTGCATGCTGGTCCTGCTGCTGCCGCCGCTGCCCGGGTGGATGGAGGAGGAGGAGGAGGAGGAGGAGGCGGAGGAGGAGGAGGATTTCCTGCCGCCCCCCCCTCCGCCGCCGCCGCCGCCGCCCCCTCCTCCTCCTCCTCCGCCTCCTCCTCCTCCTCCTCCTCCGCCTCCTCCTCCTCCTCCTCCGCCTCCTCCTGCTCCTGCTCCTCCGCCGCCCCCGGCTGCGCCCCCGGCTGCGCCCCCGCCGCCGCCGCCGCTGCCCCAGAGCATGGCGGTGGCGGCGGCGGCGGTGGCCGCGTTGTCGCAGTTCCAGGGGGACATGCCGATGCGGGCGGCGGCGGCGGCGGCGGCGGCGCTGCTGGGGAAGATCGGCGTGGTGATGCGCGCGATCTTGGCCGCCTGCGGGAAGGCGCCCCCGTTGGTCTTGTAGAAGGAGGTGGCAAAGGAGCGGTAGCGCTCCATCTCTGAGTTGTAATCCACAAGGCTGTTGAGGGCGCCCTCGGGCAGGTGGCTCTCCTTGGGCAAGCCCGGGGCCTCCGGGCTCGGCCCCGGCTCCACGCAGACATTGGTGTTCATGGTGCAGGGGGGAAAGAAGGGGTGCAGGGTGGAAGAGGGGGGCGCCTGGTCCGACACCTGGGCGGGAAAGGGGGGGAGGTGGGGAGGAGGGAAGGGGGTGATGGTTGGTGTTGGAGTGGGGGCCTGGTTAGGAAGGAAAGATGGGTCGAGGTTGGGGGGGGGGAGAGACCGTGAAGGGTTGCTTTATTCCTCTCTGGGGCACATATCCACAGACAGCGAATTTCCAGGCAGCGTCTTCCTTTGCATTATCCTCCAACTGTTACAACTAAAATAAAGAAAGTCATTCCAACGAGATGCACGAGGAAAAGATTAAAAATAAATAAACCACCACATACATAGACGCGCTCATACATTCACCTGCCAAGTCGTTCGCATGACAATCATAAAGACACGGACACCCCCCCTCGCTACATACACGCACCTCCACACCTCCCGTTCTTTCCCCCACTTGCCCTCCCTCCCAGGTCCCCTCACACCACCCCAGACCACCCCACCCCAACCTCAGCCACCACCACACCGCAGCTCCACCCCCCCCATCCTTATAACACTCCCGAGTAAATGAATTAATAGTCAGGGATGCCCAGGGATAGAGAAGGAGGAAGGAGGTTACAAATGCCAAGGGAAGAGGACACTTGGAGTACTAAAGACATGCAAATGAGGGGCGGAAAGGGTGCTACTACCTACAAGCAGAGGGCATTTAAACATTATGAAATGTGTGAACAAGTATTCCATGGGCGTGCAAATGCTATAAAATTAAAAGAAAAAAAAATCTATGGCCTTAAGAAGAAAACGAACAGGAAATTAAGAAATGAGGTACGGAAAAAGTCTACAATGCTCTAGCGTATAAACTGTAAGCAAACACAATACAGCTGAGAGCTAAGCTACAATCTGAACTAAGGAGGCCAGAAAAAAAGGAACTACCAGCTGCCACAGTGTCCTTCTGTGTCTGACGGTCATTAGTTTGAATCCCAGCACAGCTGGCTCTGTTAGGGTCTTAATTCAATGGACCAAGGGCAGGTCTCAATTGTACAAACCATTTGGTGTGAGATTGGGGTGGGGGGGGTTAAGAGGGGTGGTGTTCTACTTTAAAAGAAAAAAAAAGAAAGAAAAGAACAGATTAATAATAATAATAGTAATAGTAATAGTAGTAGTAGTAGTAGTAGTAGTAGTAGTAGTAAACCATGCAATTTCATAGGTTTTGATCCAAGAACCTGAAGCTGCTGTAAGGACTAATATTCACAGTTATTACCAATAGGGACTTCTGTCCCTTTCCAAAGACAAGGGGACTGTATGGGACTTTATTTTTTTTTTCCCCTAATGCCACTCCTGTAGACATTGAAAGACTTTATACACAGATTAAAGGGGGAGGGGAATATTTCAGGTACTGATTACCTGAAGATCAAACCATTAGAAATAATTTTCTATTTTTTTCTTTTTTTAAAGGAAAGTTAATGTTAACTGAGTGTTTTTGTCTCTACCTGATGCCTTATAGGCCATTATTATGCTTTGAGAAGGGGTATTTTAGTTGTTTACTGCAGAGGGAAAGAGGTACATCACAGGCTTTTAAGTAAAACAAAAACACAAAGTATGTATTAAACAAAAATATAGTCCTTTGTTTCCAGATTTTTCCAGATTCTTTACCAGAAAATCTGTTTATAGCATCTCCTGACACCTAGACATTGGCCAGAAATGTTTAGTTCTGGTATTAGTAAATGGGGCCGAGTACAGTGTCAGCTTTGAATATTCAGAGTTCAAAATGGTTATCAATTATTATAATTATGTTTATAATTAGATTAATGAACCATTTATGCCTAACCTACCAGTGAAAAAACTTCAAGTTATACTGATGATGTATACTAAAAAGCAGGGTTTGTGTAAACAAATCCCCATTAGGGTAGAGTAAATCAAGATAAGGCATCTCACCCAGCGCTAGATTAGGAAGTAGTGTGTTAGCGTGCATCTTTCAATCACTTAGAGTCCCTAATCATCCAGGAACCACCTCTGTATTTTAGCATCAGGGAAAACTGATCTCTTCAGAGGTCTGCAGGCAATACAAAGGGTGCCCCCCAAAAGCTCCAGGCTAAACGTTCTGGGGAGGAGGGGAAGGAAGGAGCATACCAAGAATATGCATAGAGATTCTCTTTCTGCAAATGAAATTGTAACTGTATGTCCATAATAACAGCTACCCAGCAAAACTAGTTATACCAATCATGCACTAGAAAGCTAACGTATTGGGGGAAGGGGAAGAAAATGTGTCTATTTCAGTCCTTTAATCTTGATTCAATTAGGGAATCATTTTATGTCCTATTTCCAAGGAAAAAAGTGGTGTTTCCAAACACAAGCTTTCCTCACCTGCCCTTCAGACCCCCCCCCCAACTCTTTCTCCCTTAAGATCTAATGCCATCAGAAACTGTAGAAAATGATGGTGCCTATCATCCAGGTCATTATTGTTTAATCAATGCATCTCTAGAGCATGAAAAAAAAAAGGTGTCTAAGCTACAGCTATTGTTTTCTTTTCTTTTAAAAAAACAAAACACATTAATAACTACTGCCTAACATACAGCCCAAATTAGAAATCAGCACTTCATGATCCTGTTTTAGTTTTAAACAATGTAACTGTACATGCTCAATATTGCATGTCTGTTCTACCAGAGACATTGAGATCAAAGGTCATATTTAACATTCAGGAGGAGGGGCGGGTGCAGATTAATTAATAAATTAATACAGCGGCGCTTTTTTATTGCTGGAGTCCAGCATTATTAATCCACTTTTACAATCCCAGCGGACAGCAAACATTTAAGGAAAAAAAAGCCAGAGAAAAAGAAAGAACAATCACTTACCAGTCTCTTTTTATTTGGGGAGCCTTAGGATTTGCAGACGCTGCCAGTCTGCCTTTAATTAGTTGCACATCACCCCCTAACACAAAGAAACACAAATCCAGATGTGTCTTGGCAGCTCCCAATTACAACTTTAATACTTGTAAACAAACTGTTAGGGGGAAAAATAAATAAATATGCGGATCCGCCAAAAAAAAAATACCTGTAAATGGCTTTTTTTTTCTTGTTGCAGAGAGAAGGAGGAGGAGATGGTGTTAGTGGCGGGGGTGGAAGGAGGAGGGGTTGGGGGAGAGGAAAGAGAGCAGAGTGTGAGTGTATGTGTGAGAGCGCGGGGCTCTTCTCCGTGCTCTCTCCTCTCCCTGCGCGTTGCTCTCGGTCCGTCTCTAGTCGCTGTGTGCGAGGGAGGGAGGGAACCGGGGAGTCTCTCTCTCTCTCTCTCTCTCTCTCTCTCTCTCTCTCTCTCTCTCTCTCTCTCTCTCTCTCTCTCCTCTCTCTCCCCCCCCCCGTTTGTGTGTGTGCGTGTGTGGTTGCTGGGGGAGGGGAGAGAGGGAGAGAGAGGGAGAGAGAAAGGAGCAGGGGGGGAGGTGTGCTGGCTGAGGGGGCGGGAGGGGGGCCAAGTGTGTGGGGGGGTGATTGGCGCTGAGGTGAGGAGGACGCAGGGACGTGGACACCTACTGATGATTGGCTGCAAATTACACCGGGAACAAGAGGCGCACGCGGTCCACCGCTCGTCTTCACAAATCCTCTGCTAAGCAGCAGAGCCACGTTTCCCGGCTCTGCCCGCCTGCCCGCCTGCCCGCCTGCCCGCCTGGCTCCCTCTCTGCCTGCGCCCTGGTCGCAGGAGCAGGAAGCCTGGAGATACACACACACACACACACACACACACACACACACACACACACACACACACAGAGTTGCATACATACACACATACACACAGAACGAGGGCTGCTGATTATTTTCTTTCTTTTGCTCTTCGAAATAATTGTTTGGGAGACATGGAAAGAGGGCGTTTCCGCCGCTCCTTCAGTGTGAGGTGTGTGTGTGTGTGTGTGTGTGTGTGTGTGTGTGTGTGTGTGTGTGTGTAAATAAACTTGTCTGGATTCTCTGACTAGGTTGAGAAGCAAGCCAAGAAGGGAGTGAAGGTCGTGTTTGTTTAAGGGATGCTTTTCGTCCACATTCTACCCTACATTAATCCCTTCTCCTGAACCATTAAGACTCTGTCTATTTCTGTCTGTCTGTCTGTCTGTCTGTCTGTCTGTCTTTTCTCTCTCCTCGCTTTCCCTCTCTTTTATTCCTCATAGGCTTAGAGGAAGAAAAAAGCGTCTCCAGTCAAGTGTTTCTGGTGGCACTGAAATCCAGCGCCTTAACGCTATTAGAACAGAAACTAAATTGAATCTGTGCTACTTTGCTTCTCTCTCTCTCTCTCTCTCTCTCTCTCTCTCTCTCTCTCTCTCTCTCTCTCTCTCTCTCTCTCTCTCTCTCTCTCTCTCTCTCTCTCTCTCTCTCCCTCTCTCCTCCCCCCTTCTCTCTCTTCTTCCTTCCCTCCCTCCTTCAATCGCACCTCTCATCTACTTTCTTTTCTTTTCTCTTTCTCTCCCTTCAGTTCCCTCTTCTGTATCTGCTTTGCAGGTAAACCAGGATGGGTTTGACTTTTTTTTTCCTTAAATTTCCAAATTGACTTGAAGTGGAACTTTTAAACTTGGGTTTTTCTGAATATTGATTCACAGATGACCAATTCTTGATTAGCATTTCATTTGTTGTATTTCTTGACATTTTAATGAATGTATTAGCATTTTAATGATTAATATTTTTTTCTCAGGATTTTGTGGTTCCATCATGATTACAACTCAGAGTGTAATGCAGTGTCAAGTGTACTACTGGATTTGCAGTCAAAAGACTTGGGTTCTAGGCAGGGCTTTGCCAGCTTACATTTTTTGCTTTAGTTTTTTTTTATCTGCAAAATGGGGATGATACGCACCTCACAGAGTAGTTCTGAGGATCAAATGATGTGTGCATGTGAAAGCAATTCAGCAACTAAAAAGTGCTATGCAAACATGTCAGTATAATATTTCAAACAGGCGCTGCTCTATTACACATTGAAATGAAGCATACTGTATTTTTTTAAAAGTAGAACCAAAGTAATTGTAGAGCCAATATCATCACTTTAAAATTTGGTGGATTTTGTAAGTTTTTCAAAAGGAAAAAAAGTAGCTATTAATAAACTATTTTAAAAAAGGAAAAAAACGCTAGTTTAAGATTCTTTTGCTTCTATGAATTGGAATGTAAATTTGTGTTCTAACTGAAGGCAACTAATTTCAGTGGTAAATAATTATTACTAAGAAATGACAACTTTTAAAAATGAAATTTCTCAATTTTAGCATTCGGATCTTGTGCATGTCAATTCCATTCATATCAACTTTAATATCAATTAATAAAGGCTAAGAACAAGGACTAAACTGTGATTTCATTGGTATGGGGAACTCTCTGGTGAGGAACCTCCCTCTACCAGAGCAGCTTGACACTTTCTCTGTAATTTATGGTTTTAATGGATTGACTAGAGCATGTATGTGGAGTGGCTTGCTGACAGCTACACAGCCAGTCTGTTCTGGTTCTGAGCCTGGCTTTATCTACTGCACAATAAAATACATTTAAATGGTAGATAGATTTTAGGGTATTACACAGTCCATCATCAGACTAGGGTTTTAGCAGAGTGTCTAATGGTCTATAGAGTAACCTGAACTTTTTGGCGACTTGGTTAGCCTTGCCAAGTTTGAATGGACCAGTACAGAACACCTTGACAATCTGATAAGACCTGGCACAACTTGTCCTCTACTAGAATTATTCTTTAATGACCCAGCATTCCACTATGACTGCCATACTGGACAGAGCACAGGATTTAGACTTAAAAGACCGTACTTCAAGTCCTACTTATGTGACCTTGGAAAAATCACTTAACTTCTCTTGATCTCTGTAAAATGAAAATCATCATGTAGTTCTGGAATCATGATTTTGAAGGCTTCTCAATAAGTATTATTCTTTATGTCTCATGTTTGCTCCCACCCAAAGGGACTCTGAATACAATGATCTGACTCATTTTTTATATCTGCACTGGGGATGTTCACTTTTCTGCTTCAAATAACCAGGGCACCAAAGTATTGAAATCTAAATCAACTTCATTCTCAGGCATTGAAAGGGATAGAGAGAAAATGGTTATAAATAACATCCCTTACTCTGAGACTTTGGCTCTTTACCCTGCAGTTCAGGTCACATCCCCCACCAACAACTCGTGAGGACAGGAGATAAAACCCCAGTATCCTGGACTATCCTAGCTTCTGTGGCCAGTGCAAATGAACTAGATTAATTAGGGCTCTCAGCTTTGGCCACCACCCATTTGTCACTCCTGGCTTATCTTCTTTTAAGCCAGTTTTCCCACTTTTGGTACAAACATGGCTGTGTACCACCACCATTAGCTTTTCTTCAGAAGTTTTATGTAGTTCCCAGCTTACCTCTCAGGTACTTACTACAAGTTGTCTAGGAGTTATTGTCTCTGAACACTACTGCTGAAGTCTGTGTGTGTGTGTGTGTGTGTGTGTGTGTGTGTGTGTGTTCAGTCATTGCAATTTCTCCCTTCTTCCTCTCAGCAAATCCCAGATGTTCCCTTTTTCTTTTTTTTACCCTGAGTTCACAATAATGTGGGAAAGTATTTGAATACCTGTTCTTCCATTGCCTTAATACCTCAGATGCCTTGGTGGAGGGATTCCTTGGGAGGAAAGGTATTAAACCTCAGAGACTATGTAGTTCAATCTTTCCATTTCAGAGTTAAGAAACCTGAGACCTGGAGGAAATAAGTTACTTTCCCAAAGTCAGGGTTAGAAAGTGACAGACCTGAGATGTGAACCAGTGCCCTCTGACTCTGAAACCACTTTTTTCTTGTTTTTTTTTCCCCTCAGTCCCAATTAAGAACCATTTAAATTTTCTGGCAAGTTTGATGATGTTTCAGGTTAACTTTTTAGTCCAATATTTCTAAGTGAAATCAAATAAATGTATACAATGACATAAAATGTATACATAAAATATTTTAGTGTTCTAGCTTTACAAAATATATTTGTTCTTAAGGCTGTGGTCTTTATCACCATATAGCTAAATATTTTGTTGTGCAGAGTGAATATCATCCCATGCCATGCACTTGATGACTGATAGTAGCATTTTTAAATGGAGTAAAATTTGAGAAGACACTTTATGTTTCCAGATGCCAGGAGTTTACTGAAAATTATATTATAACCCTTTGATTGATATTGCAACATAATATATCAAGGTGGAGAATTTCTCCCCTAGCTCACAGATCCTATAATCAAAAGGGATTTGACCAGTGGAGCAAAGGTAGTAGAGGAGGAGCTTACTATCATATAAAATGCGTCCTTAAATTCTTTTCCTGGAAGTCATAGCCTGGATGGATGGAGAGGATTTCAAGTAGGAGAGTGAAGAGGAAAAGAATAGATAAAGGGGAAAGGGGATGGTTGGACTCCATAGCTTTGGTTTTCAGTTGCCTGAATAACCATTATTCATCTAGATTCATAGAAGAGATTTAGAAGTATAAGATACCTTGGAGACCATCTACTCCAACTCCAACATTTTATGTATTTAGAAACTGAGGCTAATGAGAAGTGATCCATTCACAGTCATTCACATAATAAAAAGGAGTGTCAGTATCTGAACTCAGCTTCCCTGGATACAAATCCAGCACCGCACTCTACCACACTACCTCTACACTGTTTCAAATTGAGGCAATGTGTAGAGTGGATGGGTTTCAAGGTAGAGAATGGGTTTGAGGCTTGGCTGTCCCACTTATGATCTGTGTGACATTAAACAAGTCATTTCACCACTGACCTTGCCTTAGTTTCTGACCTCATTTCATTTCTCTACCTCTATCTATCTATCCTATTCTATTCTATTCCTTATCTATAAAATAAGGTTGTGTCATGTTAATAATTCTGAGATGCTTTCTATCTCTCAATCTTTGAAACTATAAAAGCGAAAAAAATAGACTTCACATAGGCTTAAATTTGCATTCCAGTCAATGAATCCATATCTATTGAGTGTCTACACTGCAGAGTGCCTATGCTTAATATGTTTTCTGCTCTCAAAGAGTTTATAATCTAGCTGGGATTTTAAGTCAGAAGACCTAGGTTTGAATCCTGTCTTTGATATTTATTACTTGCATTAGCTTGAGCAAATGACTTA